GAGGTAACACAAATTCAGGGACTGCGGAGAAGAGCCAGGTGCTCCTGCTGCAGAGATTCGCGCTCGTAGTTCCACCAATCAACCGACTCAAGGGAAGGAGAAACGGACACAATAACGAGATAAGAGCCTCTCCAAAGAACACAACTGAGTGGTTAGTCCTTTTGTGATTGCGATAAGAAAGACAACAGTGCGCGTGTGTGAGAGAGGGATGAGACGGGGGGGGGGGNGACTGCGGTAGGGTTGACTTGTGCACTTGTTTCAAGGACCGCAGAACAAAAGCGTAAGCACACACACAGACGTACTGAATCCTGTGGACAGGCGCAACATAAGGTGTTTCGGGAGGAAAACGGACGCAAGGGAGGAATATGGCTGCTTGCAGCTGTCAAATAGGATATGCGGGTGTGACTGCGGTGAGAGCTGACACCGAAACTCTCTGGCACGCACGAGGACGAACTAACAAGGAGAACCCACTAAAATATTCCATAACAGAAGACAACAATAGAGTAACCCGACGCGATGACTGTGTTGTTGACTTCCATCAGCAGGGAGGTTCGTCGTACCATGAGTGAGGAGGACGCATCAAGCTCTTACTCGCATCTCCAGTGTGCGTATGACACTGGTGGTGTAAACCGCATATTACCTGACTAGTTTGTGGTATGTATGCAAGGTTTCTTATGTGTGGACAATCCGTACAAGTATGTACGGAGGTGTATACTTAAATATGTATGTATATATATGGGACTGTAGATACAAGCATACGCGCTTATATACAGCATCGGTTGTTTTGTTTAAGGAGGTAGGGGACGGGTGGGGAAACAGCACCGTTGGACACAGATAGGTATTGGAAGGCGATCAGGACAAATGGAACGCATTTTGACCTTCTCGAATTGCATAACGAAGTTTGCTCGCCAATAGCTCTTTGGTCGAGTAGTCCGGTAGTTTCAAATAGTTTTGGCACGTCATTACTGAGGGTAAGTGATTGTCTGCGTTCTCACCGCCTTCTCGTTTCATAACAATTTTCAAGGGCGGTTTGAGGGCTCGAAAACCTAAACGAACGACAATAAAGAGCAAGGAAAAAAGTTACACGAATATCAGCATTGGTATGACAAAGATGACAAGCGAATTGAGTTACATTCAGACAAGGGAACAAAAACACATTAACCATAGAAGTCACCAGGACCGGAAACAAGCAAAACAGTAAAAGTTGGAATAAACGTACGCGTTTTATTTGTTATGAAGTGTTCAAGGAAGTATGAGAAATGAGACACACTTACCACCAACCGGCAACCGTGGACTACCGGTAACAAACTTCACAAACAATCGGCGCTCTTCTTCGTCGAATTCAGACATCACTTCAAATAAATGTCGAATCGTCCGAGACTGCGGTGTGTAACCGTGATCACAACGACACGCCTCAGTCAGACTGGCCACATCCCATCCCTCCGGATCGGGGACCGGTGGACCGGCGAGCCAACCGGGAGCTCCCGGGTGTGCGCGCCTTTGCACGCCTGCATCCGTCCGTCCGAGCAACTCGAATTGTGACTGTGATCGACCGCAGAACAGACCCTCCATTTCATCCGGTTGAAATAGAACTGCCAGACGCGGACGGACATTGGGTAGCACAGAATCGAATCCTTCCAGCACAGATTCCATTTGACGACTGACACCTTCAATTACGAGCCAGTGTGCAACCAGACGGAGGTAGTCACCCAGATTGCTACCAGTAACCTGAATGTGACTTCCATTCTTCAACAATTCAATCTGCAAGTAGATATTTAGATAAATTGTTGTTTTGAAATATGCAGTTGATTACAAATACTAAGTGCGAAATATAGGGCTGAAAGACGTTAGAACTCGCGGAGACTGATAGAATGAAGTATTTGTCATGCAATACAAATAACAGGAAAAACAAAAAAGAGGGCAGTGCCAGTAGTGAATTAAGGTATCTGAGAGGTCACCTTAAATCAGGATGGATATACGATAACAAAGATAAGACATAAACTGAACATGCAAACCCAGGGTGCAACTGGCAAATGTGACTAAACGGTAGAACATCCATATGCATTTTATACAAAGTATACTAACCTCATAACCAGGTAGGACGAAATTCAAACACAAATCCTCAATTTCATTGTCCAAAAGCATCAATGCGGCTCGCAATTCATCCAATTTTCGTGTCTCCGCACTAGAGGATGAAGTGGATGACGATCCACCCCCACCGCCTGCGGATCGAGCAGATTTTGTGGATCCCGTCCCGGCGTGAGATGTGTGCGTTCGAGACGCAAACAAGACATGNGTAATTCCTGACGTCGATTGGCTAATTCCGCCAACTGACGCATATGCCGACCGAGTTCTGGATCGACCAGAGCTAGATCATTTGGAAGAATGTGACCTTGGGCAACAGAAGCACTGGATGTGGCTCCCAGAAACCATTTGAAGAATGCAGGAGAGAAGGGCAAATCAAGTTGTCGTCCATCCAGTAAAGCACGTGCCATCAGTCGACCCAAGAAGAGAAATTTGGACCGAACCTGGGACCAAAAGATCCAAGATGACAAACAAGAACTTAAGGGAGCCAGAAAAAGTATTTCCCTGGTGCATTAGGCAATTACAGATCCAATTCACGACAGGCGGTTTTCACACACGGTTCATGTTTTCCGATCTCACTATCCGAATCAGAGCGAACTAACAGATTGCCGCAACCATTGTATTATTTGCATTAGTTGGCAACAGGTCGCCTAGGTGGAAAAATGAACGACCAGCCCCGACATATTGTGAGCTATATCATTCTACAAACTAAGGATCATTTCCAACATCTTATTTCAGTGTATTGATTAGTTGGACAAGGTACATAGGATAAGGCAGTGAAACACAAACCCGAGGAAGGGGGGGTAATGGATTAGTCAAAAAGCAGTCACTTTATCGTAGCCCTCGGATATCCTAAGTAAACTCGAAAGCATACCTCCTTCCTTGCACGATGGGTGGAAAAACAACCAGGACACTGCTCGTTAACTGGGAGAGTTTAGTGTCTTGATGGGACATATGGATAACAGAACGAACAGTCATTAAATGAACAGTATAGTCAACAATGACTTTTCCATCGCCAAAAAAGATACCCATTCATTACAGTTCAGTCCATTCACCCAACCACGATGACTGCTTATTTATTCGGGTTTGATGCATCCAAGAAACGGACTGCAACAAAAGAAAAGCCACAAAGCACAGGTGATACTTTGGGATGAAAATGACAATCCGGGGCTTGGAAAACTGCTGTTTTTCGGCTGTGCAAGCTAATCCAAACTACGTTTTCCATGATAGTTCAGACCAATCAATATGGTGCAAGCGGGATCAGTAGTACATGCGAAAAGCAAGCTAAGCTCTGGCAATAGACAGCGTGGTTTAAGAACAGGAAACACAACCGATAGTTTAGCTTAAGTAGATGAGACACTCGATTAACAGTTCAGAAAAGTGAAGTCTGTATAAAAACCAAAAATAACGAGGAAGAGGAAAGGCAGTTGGGGTTGTAATTACCCGGTATTTGCAGACACCCAGCTTTCGATTACCATTGCTATAGAGAAGATGTTTAGCTCAACCGGCATAAACCTCGAACTGCTGTCCTTCTTGAAGTGACAAGCATTTGACTTACCTAGAACAAAATATATAAGCTGAACTCAAAATTGCACGTACTGCGGTGCTGTGCATTTGACCTTTTAGGGGAAAGCCAATATCGCGCCCGCACTAAAGATGCTTCAAACTACAGAAGACTAAGATAGCCTTCTCGTTCTCTTAGAAATCCCTACAACCACTCTTCCTTCAGGTGAGATATAGCTCCTAAATTAAACAAAGTCACTAACGATTTCCAATCATTCGCTTACTAGGAGGAGAGTAAACACTGTTAGTCTTGAATCAACCGAAAAGTAGTACACATTTAACCAAAGACCGAGGACTTACCTCGCGTACCGTGGTGGATCTAGCTTGTTTGGCCAAAGGTCGTGGGTAAAGGCCAGGTGGCGGGGCGATCACATAACCATCGGCGGTCGTTTCATTACCATGCCACAAGCCTAAACTAGCTTTCATCAACTGCCGACTAACCAGTGTGTAAAATTCCAACGTCGGTCCGAGACCGAATCCGACTTCACCGTCGAAAGCAATCTCCAACACAGCTCGTGAAGCAAGCAGATCGGCCAGAGTCACCTCAGCCTGCCGCAACAAACGTTTACCGTCCCGATGAACGGTCACTTTGTGACGACGCAGATTTGGCGCCAGAGTGATTCGGGTCGCATAACGACCACGCGGCTGTAACGCTAGACGCTGCGGACGCAGAGGGATTGAGCCGGAGGAGATTGCTGCAGTGGTATTGCTCCCCGAAATCGCTGCGACTGCGCCGGGCGAATCGGTGGACACGTTGGACATCCATGCAGTAGAACCTGGTGAGCTAAGGGCGGAGCTGAATGCAGTAGTCGGTGCAGACAATTCAGAGGTTATCGAGCTACCAGCACCTGACCGAGGAGATGCGCCACCCAAACCGGCACCGAGATTCAGAGACTGAGCCACCCCGTCCAGAAAGCTATGAGGTGCAAGAAGCTGGATACCTCCACGTGAGTCTAAGGCAGCTGACTGAGGTTGCTGCTCAAACTCCGAGACGGAGGAAGTGACCGTATCCTGGAACGGATGGGATTAAAAAGGTCAGAAAAAGAAAGTCGGCGCACTTTAGCTGCTGTTCTCATCGTGTTTTCGCATACTATTTTTTACGCATAAAAAGAACAAAAATTCATTGCATGGTAATTTCACCTCAAAGAACAGAAACAGTCAGGTGTGACTGTAATTAATTTCTTCTGAAATGGGAATGAAAATAAGATGAGTTAGCTACCAAGCTAATGGCTTTGCTCCCTGGAGGGGAGTTACGAACGTGCATTTAGTGCCCCAAAGGGCAGACAACTTCGTAAGAAACAACAAATGGGACGAGATAAATGAAAACAGAGTGCAAAGTGACTTCGTTGCGGATCATGGAAACGCAGCTAAATTTAGGACGTAGTAGGTCAATGGTTCGTGATCACCTACTGCGGTCAGCACCTCAACGGATGCGGCTATTCGCCATATAGGGGAAAATGAACGAATTTCCCCACTAACAAATCTGATTTAGACATTTTTGTAATGACAAAGACGTAACTATGGGTACGTTCTCAGTCAACATTTATTAATCTTATGTTCCTAAGGGCAGTTTATCAATGAAGATAAGCGGACGGGATCGCGTATATATATATATATATATATATATATATATATATATATATATATAT